CAAAATAAAAATAATATTACATATACATAACGCTTTTTGCAGTTTCATTGACCTACATATCAAAATAATTCACTTTAAAGATATGATCAATATTGAAGCATATAAAATTATTGGATAAGAATAATTTTGCAGACATTAACTTTATACATATAGTTTTATGCTTCTACGCTATCTTGAATTTATTTTTATCGTCGTTACAAGTAATCGTTCATAACTGTCGGATTACGTGTTCGCCGGACAGGTTTTGCGCTCTAGGCAGCTAATTGCGCAGAATCATTCGAGATATTGACCTCAGGACTCACGACGGGAGAAACAAAGAAAAAAAAAGATGCGCCGACAAAACGTTCGCGGCGTACTGCCTTTTTTCATTTAAATGGCCGGTAAGGCGGCGGCGGGACGCAGGCTGCATACTTAATGGAGGCATATTCTGCCGGTGCCACTGCCACTCAAGGCAAGCCCAACACTGCGTCAACGGGGTCAGGCTGTTCGCGACAGGAAAATAATATGAGTTGGTCGTAATCCGCGGCAGAACTTCGCCTCCAGATACGGAGGTGTACAACAAACTAAGCCGTCGTCACGCAAGGACACTTCACGTACGGCGAGTCGCGCGAGATACAGCGAAATAATGATACCCGGGTAGAAATGTCTTCTGCCGTTTCTTTCGAATTTTACTCAACAAAATCTCTAAATAAATATATGTATTGTATTTAAATTATATAGATATATCGTTTATTATTCATACAGCAACTGTAAATGATATTTTGATATCAGGTCCAATGTAAGAATTGCAGACATCAAAGAATTTCTTGACGGTAAAAAAAGCGGAGGCTGTATATAAGTATTCGACCGAGAGACATACATTATTGCTTTTTGCCATGCAATCATGCTCTATCGTGTACGTCACACATCCGCATTGTTAACTGCGCGCGGGCAGTAATAATGATACGTACACGTGCACCAGCACGGCGGATTGCACGTGTGAAGCGGGCGGGTGAAAGGGAGGCCGGTGACGGGAGGCTCGTCGAACGCGATGCGGAACATAGGAAGAAGGAATGACATTACCGGATTGTGCAATAGACATGCGATGCTACGTGAATCAACTATACTCGGGGTTCCAAACGAGGTGTCGGAAGTAATTAGTCACGACTTTTTTCCCGCTATAATTGGCGCCGAGCGGATCGAGTGATTTACACGCGACACATTTTTACGCGAGTGCGAATTAACTTGCGTATATATAATATACGATGACTCGCACGAGTGTATTGAGTAAAACGAAAAAATACTTATTAATACCTACAACCGTGGTTGGCGTAACGAGATGAAGTGCATATTGGTACACCAGCATTACGAAAACTAACTTTGAATAGAATTGTCAAGCGGTGACTCTTTGATTAGACATAATCCCTAAAAAAATCTTTTTAAAAAAGGAAAGCTATTGATTAGGTATGAAAAAAGCATCTATTCTTTGGAATATATATATTTCGAAATAATGCTTTCGATGAAAATTTTACTAAAAATCTATAGCATTTTGGTAAAATTTTCCTCAAAAGCATCGCTTTAGAATGTTGTGAGCTCCAGATATTTTATTATCTAAAGAAAGAGAGAAATATTTTTTTTCTCTTTAAAAAAAAATATTTTTAGAAATATCTAATTAAAGAGTCAATGGTTGAAATCTCTACTAAATCTCTAATAAATCTCTAGTATAACTACAGGGTAACATAAATTAGCTTTTTAGTAAAATTTTCTTCGAATGCTTTGGAATCTAGCCTAAGTGTATGTTATATTTCATTTTACGAAATTATACACAGCATCTGTAAACCGCGTTTTTTTATATAAATATTTAATATATAAATTAAATAATAACAATTAATTAGCAAACGTAAATATGTATTTTCTTTTGCATATCCAATGCATACACTCGCGATGAAACAGCTCCCAAATTCGGCTATTACCGCGTATCGATTTTTATATATAAAGTACAATTATATTCGCACAAACGAAACGAACCGCAAAGCGCGGCGAACGGTCCAGAGAGAGAGAAACAGAGAGAGAGAGAGAGAGAGAGAGAGCACACCGCGCTAGCAACGGCGCTAAACGTCATGTTTGTTGCACGAAAGAGATTTACGATTGCAGATGATTACGCAGGCCCGGCTTAAAGGCGACGCGCGATTACCCAGCAGTAAGATTACCCAGCAGCGACGATTATGTATTCTTAATGGGATTAAGCGCAATCTACTTATACACCGCTATCGTGACAGGACTGCTCGTGCTGTTTGATGCTTACAAACCGCCATCTCGCCTATCCTGATACCTAACCGGGCGCGGGACGAACGAGGCGCTATAGCAGCTCACCGCCGATCGAAACTCGACCGAAACTCGATTTTCGTAGCTTGTCGGCAAGTCGGCCCCGTCCCGGGGAGAAGTCTCAAAAATTACATTATTATCCGGCTGTCACCCGGCTGTCAGCGAGCGTAATGAGAGCAGACGTTTCTCTCCGGCGGAGACCGCCGTTGTAACGGCGAAATTCCGGCGGCATGGAAACTGGCAGGTGCATCACGTTAGGAGAAACACCTCTCGCCGGGAGGCGTCATACTCCTCAACGAAGTAATAACGGACGCGCGTAACCGTTTCACCCATGGCGAAAGAAATTTAATTGTATGGATTGTACACGCCGTCTGCTCCACGGCCGAACGGGCCACTAATGATTCAAACAATTACGAAAGTTCTCCTCTACCGAGGCTCAACTGACGCTTGTGCCCATACATACATCGCCTCTCATCTCGCGTCTTTTGCAATAACGATCTGAAAGCCGCGATCGCGTCGTCTCGTCGTCGCTCGCCGAAGTTTATTCAGGAGCCGTAATATACGCGTGGCGCGTCACGGTGCCATTGGTTAAAATATTCGTATCATTTGGTGCTTCAACGAATATGCACAAAGTTTCCGAGACTGTTTTACAAATGTTGCTCTCCGCAATAACGCGGCATGCATTTATGCATGTACAATTATTCGAATGCAAACTCGTTAATCTGTTTTAGACGCGGGGCCGCTCTCGTGTCGCAAAAATCATAAACGATATTTTTAAACATGGATGGAAAAACGTACGTACATTCGCATTCCTAAATACACTGCACAAAAGTAGTTGACAAAGCCGGGATAAAAGTTTATTAATATTATGTAAAAAAAAAATGAAAGTAACAATTCCATAAGCAATAAATAATATTCGTTTAAATAATTTATAAATGTCCCTCGTTTATCAGATTCAATATCTATACTCGAAAAGTTGTTACATTCTCGAAATTGTTGCATTTAAACGTCAATACCGCGCGTAGGTATTACGAAATGATAAACGTAAAGTGTAACTGAACTCTCAACTTTAGCGGAGGAGGGTCTTGATAAATTAGCGACGAAATCGTAATTCGCAATTTGCCGGAAAAGCCAGCTCGACTTATTTTTGTGAAGATTTCCGCACGGTTGAAAACGGTCGAGAGAGACACACACAAACGTCGGCCCGGGAGATAAAGTTACATTAAAATCAAGAGGAATAAATTGGAGTTCGACGGGAATTCGCTCGGACAATTATCTTGGGGACGAAGCAGCTCCAATTAAACGAGCGCGCTTCCTGCCGCTCCTGCCGTCTCGCAAAAACGGGTCCGATGCTAATTAGCAAAGTCTATGCTCTGGAAGTGAATTTCATATCGAGTTGTAATCGAGTAAACAACGGCCTTAAGTAGTTCGAGCGTGCTATCTGCTTCCACGATTTCTTCGTGACCTGACATTCAATCGCGATATTCACCCGCCGCGTCGGGGGCCCGTCTCGCCTTATAACGACGCATAAATGTCGTGAATCGAATGCAAATAATTCCGAAGAATCGCTCAATGCGACGAACGGAGCCGCGATAAACGTCGGTGCTTCGACGGATGAAAAATAAGAGTGAAAAATGTAGATCGCCGTTTCATTATGATTACGATTCGTAATTATATAATTCCACGCGAAAATTCGAACTTTATCTATCTGTCTTTCTCTCTTTTTTCGGAAAATTTAATAATTTGTTCACAAAAACGTTTACTAATGACGAGTACAAAATTAATTCAACTCTGAAATTGCATATAATATATTAGAGTTCACATACATTAGAGTATCTTATCTGCTTATTTTAAAAGGATGAGAAGGCAAATATAATAAATGTTTGCGCGGTCTGAATCTGCGAACTGACTGAAATTTGATTCTACTAACGGAACGCGTCTGCAAATACTCACTATTAATTCGCCGTCCGACATTAGATTTGTACTCGTTTTTACTACTTTTATTGATTTAACTTGACATTTCGGCGCATAGCTGCGCATTTCGTTCTCGAAATCAAAAGAGCCGATTAAAACTCAATAGAATATTCCATTACCTGACTTCAACAACCTGATTTATAGTTATAAGTAAACTATCTTTAGTGGATTACGAATGACAGTTTTAACACCTGACAGTTAAACAGCCACTTCAAATTTACCGAGATGTGTGATAGAATATAATTGCATTAAAATAATTGACAAAAAATTGGCGAATATCGGGTGCTATTACTTCAAAAGTTAATTATAAAATAATGAAGCCGCAATAGTCATAAACAGGTATCTTAAGTCGAAGTCAATTCAATTGTAACGAGTGTGTATTTGCATTGACGAGTGATTATTAAACGGAAATACTTCGCTAAGAACAATATAGAACGATTTTCCTGTAAGAATTATTCAAACTAGAACTCAATTAACAATTTCAATCACGTTCACCACAATCGACACACGATTAAAAACTGACATCAAAAAGTTAAAAGAAATTTTATAACGTATTTCGAATAGGACAAAAGCTGATATCAGCGTATAAAGTTGAAAATATCCACGACCGCTCGTCGTCGCACTGTGGAAATTCGATTTTAATCCGCGAAATGTGGTATGTACGCGCAAGAAGAAAAAAAAAAGAAATTTGCTAATTTAAAAGAACAATGTCTCGCACTCACTTGGGAAACCGCGTGCGCACGCGACAAAGCACGCCGCAACGAGAAGAACGTGGACGAACGTTTTCATCCTGTCGCACACAGGGAACGTGTCGGGAACTCGTATAAAAAACTGCCAGGGAACCCGCCTGCTGCCTCGACGATGTCTCGATCGACACTAACCGGTCCACCCGAACGGACGGCTGTCACGTACGACGACTCGCGAAAGGATCAAGGTTACTTGCCAGACCGGACCGTGGAAAACACCGACGTTTTGCCCCGTCGGCTCCTGCCCGCGCCGCGGCTATATGCGATCCCACGATCGCGGTCGTGCCAATCAGCGGCGATCGTCGCGGGTCACGTGGCGCGTATCACGTGATCGCGAGCGGAACGCGGCGCGCGATTTTGAGCCACGTCGCCGCGGCTTTTCCTGGTATCGGTAATCTTTATAATTCTACGTCGCCACCGGAGTAAGTATAACGTTACGGGTGTGCACTAAACAACTCGTGTCTCCGATTTTTACAGCGATCCCGTGAGCCGACGAGCAAATGCGCATGCAGTGATAATTATGAGAGTGCCAGGCACAATAAGTGCATAATACGTATGAGTAATACTCTTGTTCCGAGTAAACAGCCGCGAACGTTATCGCGCCTGTCGTCGGTTTAGTTCGAAAAATCATTACTCACGAGATTTTCCAAGAAAAAAAAAACACAAGATAAATGGCACGAATAACAGTTTCAATTTTAGGCCGAGAGACGTTGAGAAATTTTGTAATCTCGATGAAAACGGGTCAGAGAGGAGGCTGTGACTCGCACGGGAGGATCCTTATCGTTACACGCACGTGGCGTAAGCGAGGGTGATATGCGTACGCGGCTGTGTACGTGCGTGATCGTGATTGTGCGTACGCGCTCTCCCGCGCGCTTGTGTATAGGTATATGCGGGTTATTATTATTATTATTACAGAAACCGCACGGTGCAGCAGCGCGGTGGCGGGCGAACTAGCGCAGCGGAACACGATAATTATCGTGCGTCTCACAACAAGCTTGTGTGTACACACGCGGGCCGCTTTACGCACGCATTCGGTGTACCGCTTGCCATGCTTGCGCGCTTTCGCGTAAGAAGTCTGTTACACGAACCGTCGAGAAACTTCGGAACCAGACGAGACTTGCCTGACGAGATGCTTAACCCTGAGACACGAGCTACTTTTACAACCGCGAAGACGTAAGACAGATTACTTCGAATAATTGCTGCCGCGTAAAATTCTAGTATAATCAGTAGACTAATCTTTAGTTTTCTAGACTAATCTACGCCGTTCCCAAAGAGACTTACTTATAATATTTTTTTAAATATATTTCAAGCTACAAAGAAATGCAAAGCCACAAAACAAAATTTTGCGAAAATCTATACCTATACTATAAAGGAGTACTCGCGAGAATATTTTTGCGTTTTAAAGGTAAAAGCAAAGGCAAAATATATATGTTTAGAGAGAAAAATTATGTCTTTGCGGCGTGGCGTTTCAGTATTTGCAAAAGCCGCCTATAAATTTCGCTGTTACATGTTGATAAAAGCGGTAATTGCGCGGCGAAATACCCTGTTATTATATGCGATCGGACCTTGTGATCGGTTACATCTGCATATATTTATGTAACCATGTCGTTTTCTAAGAATAGTTGGAATTCATCGTGCAATTCATATATTTTTTTTCATCATCTCGAATATAAGGTATAAGCCACGAACACGCACTCCTCGCTTCGTTACTTTCGTAGATTTTTCCGGCACGCGATTCGGTATGCGTTCTGCGCAAAATCGTATATAGCAAAAAATAGACAGGGGTGATTCATTGTAATAGATAAATGCGGCATTATGCGACGTCCGTTTTGTCGTCTCTCTACCGCATATGAATTTAACCTTGCACCTATTATCGCAGTAGGTATTTCCGGCTATCATAACGTTGCGATAGCTGTTACTTAAAAAGTATCGTCTAATGCTGAGGTATAGCAGCTGAAAACCAAAACTGATGCAATAAACATATCAAATGGATTTATCGGAAAATTGCTCTGCATTAGATAAATAAAAAATTATATATTATAATATTATAATATTATAATTTTAATGTAATTAATTTAATTAATTCAATTAATCAAAAATTATTAGTCCAGATCGCAATTTCGCCATACGTTAAATTTAATTCTATTTATAAAAAAAAAGTATTCGAATAATTGAGTCTTAGATACATAATTCTCGAAAAATGAATTAATGGTAAACGATCATAGACCTTTGATCAGTCGAGCTTATCTAAAACAATTGCTCTCAATTGCTTTTCCTTTCATTCTATCTCATATTTCTTGTGAACTCTTAAAGTGGTCTTTATTTCATAATACATCTCATCTACCTATCGTAAGAAGTAATTTTTTAACCGCAATTCTTTTTAACCGCGTGAAATAAAATGAGTCCTTGCTCATGGCACAGCTGCGTCAGCTATTGTTCGTCGATGCGATTAGTCACAATCGGACAAATGTGCGATGGGCTAATAACAAGAGAGAGAAAAAGAGACAAGTACATAGAGATAGATAGAGAGAGAGAGAGAGAGAAAGGGAGATAGAGAGAGAGCCTGGGCCTGGGTCGAATGCCGTTAAGTCGTGCGTTCAGTGACCGCACCGACACACGGCGGCCTGCAAACAACAGACAGTTTGATTAAAAGTAATTGCGTATGTCCGATGTAGCTGGGATTTTGGACGAATTTTCGGATCGGTCGCGTCGCGCGCCGCATCGCGCCGTGTTCATTCACAGGCCGCTGGTAATTTCGCGAAAATGCATTTCACGGGTCGATTGCAATGTGGATCACGCTGTTGTTTTCGGCTTCGTGCCCGCTTCCTGCGATCCTTCCGGCCCGAGCGTACCAGCCGCTATAATTTATGATGCGGAAGAGCCGGTATAATGGTCGGCGTGCAAGCCGAAGGCGACTGCTCTCGTCGTCGTCGTGGACCCTTGCCACTGCAATGTGTAAAGCGCGCGAGCAATCGGCTAAATGTATTTAACGGCGCGTCGGAAGACGCAGCGTGCATAATTTAAATTCCGCATCCAGTTTCCTGTATCGAATTCTATTCTCGAGCGCCGAACTTCACACAGAGAGTTTTCCGCATTCGCGTTAACGACGTTTGTCAGCGTTTCAAGAAGACGTCGCTGGTAGACTAACAACAAGTCTGATGCGATAATAGCTTTCCTGATTATCTGAGGAATACCACGTAAGAGCATTCATTATTATTGCACATTTAATCAACTCACTGTTGTAAAATTATCTTATTTTCTTAATAATTTAACGCAACGACAAATAAATACAATACGGAGATATCGCTATTGTAATTCATTCGTTACTTGTGAGACCTCATTAAAATATAGCCTTCGGCACTTTTCATAAAAAAGACAAGATATATATATATATATATTTAAGCTGTGTGTGTGTATGTGTGTCGTGATAAAGTTTTATATTCATCTTATTTATTTTCCTTATTTATTTCCTTCATTTTTATTTAATTTTTAGTAATTCGTATCTCTAGATGTTAATTGCATAAACATTTTCATTAATTATTCACTCTTCCCGTTTTTGCCGCAGGCAGATCGATGTTAAAAAAGATGTTTACGCTCGCTGTTCGCGGTATGCCATATACATTTCAATCGTAAAGATATATCGACGTATTTTTATCTTATACTTCGAGACTGCATCTTGATTTTGATATGTAAATGAGAATGTCTGCTAGTCTTATTGCGTCGTTGATCCTGCGTTTACATAATGTAAATTATTATCGCAGAAATATCGCAGAGCTGGAAGTCATTACGAATTTTCAATGATAGCGGCACGTAACTTATTGCGATAATTATTTAGTCTTGCGTGAAGCGACAGGTGCCTCGACTTTAACAGATAAGAGCATTGTATCTGTAAGAGTTACAATGCGCCGCTTAAAAAATATAGCGCGCAACAATTTTTATGCGTGGTCTATATAAAATATCTGTAAGATGCACTATAATACGTCTACTTCATAATTCACAATTATCGCCTTGCGTATGTAAAAGCAGTATACAAAAGTGCTGCGCGCAAAGTATATTGTTTGAATGACACCAGTCTCGAAAAGGTAATGATGGAAATTTTTTTCGTCGTAATCTGTTATATGTCCGCAATTTGACAAACGCATTAGCTCGTTAAGCGCAAGCAGTTTGCGATTAAACTTTAGTAATTCCCGCTTTTGAAAAGCTCGAGACCGTAGTCGATTAAGGGTAACTAGCATCGTACACAAAAGTTCTCGTGTAAAGTACAGACGGTGAAATGCGACAATGGATCATCATTAAGAAATATAAGATTGCGGAAGGTATAATGTAACACTCCGACACATACAGTAACGCAACGGCGTTTGTAACGAGGTTAAAAATAAAGTTATTAATTATCGCCCAAACGAAACACACTCTCGACGAAATGTAATCCTTTTGATAACACTTGCGCACCTAAAGTCATATTTAAGCTATGTTAACCTCATAATATTATCTCTCGTCATATTTGCTCTCTTATATACGTCGTATTAGTTTTTCCGTTTGCACGGGTGAGGAGGAAGGAAAGTGAGGGGGGAGGGAGGGGACGGAGGCACCGGCGTGAATGAATCAGTGACAAATAAGCGTCCGCCGTCAAGACTGGTACCGATGAGATCGACGTGCGACGCAGATGTTGAGTCATCCGTGCTAGAAATATCGTAATTTGCCTCGTCCGTCCACGTATGTGCAGTGCATTTTCCTCCGTCATGTATGCACACTTAGCGAGGATGACGCGTCCAGCAGACTATTAGTTCTGCGTTGGTTTCTGCGTTCCCCGTTTGTTTTTCTTTTCTTTACATAAGCCAGCGATCTAATTGTAAGTTTCCTGTCTCGAATTTGCATGCAGCACTTACGTCGTCGAAGAAATTAATTTTTTTTTATCTAAATGATTCATTACAAAAAAATGATCCGATCCGCGTCAAACGTGCACGCGGCTCGCGAATAAATTACGCGGTCGTGGCCATAACTTTGCGTCAATTCAAATCGACGTTTGACGATAATCCTCTCGTTCATATTTGTATATATATAGATATTGAATATATTACGGGGAGTCTCTCTCGCGTTTGTCAAACCCGCGTGACAGTTTGCGGGAATACATTTTATTGTATATATTACGGCGTCAGGTACCAGCAAACGTTATCTCTTTCCCTAGATTCCACCACGCCTGTGTAAATTTGGAAGTTTATCACGTTGGGCAAACTCACGGTATTGTTGCGGTCGCTCCGCAACGAACGGAAAAAAAGTGAGTTTGCATATCGAATTGCATAAACAATGTATTAATTGAAAGGGCCCCGGTGAATGAAAGCGCATGGTTTAACAATATTTTCGAAAATATTTTAATCCGGCAACAGTTACGCGCATTTCGGCGACATAATGGGGAGAAAAAAAATTTTTTTTTTTAGGCTAACAAATATTTGGAATAAAAACGACAGCGAAGAATAAACGCACGTTTAGCTAAAGATAAAAATAATAATAAAAAGTATCGAAAATACTATCAGAAAAATGCGCGCCTGGTTATTTACGAAATAACAATTTCTACGAAATATTTTCATTGTTGTAACGTTAAGGTTTCCGATTGCAAACCAGTTTGACGATTGCAATTAATTGTATGGTTTCGGTAACTAAATATCGTACACTGATAACATTGGCAACACCGTATATACGACGCTCTAATGATTTATTCTCGAGATTAACTGAACTTTCGCAAGGAATTTCGCAATCCCATCTAGACACTTGTCCGAATCCTCCAATTGCGAAAGCGTTATGTCTGCACGCTCTCGCAAAGTGTCCACCTACTTCTTCTGCATACAAATGAGATATACTCGTGTGACAGATTATAATGCATACCATCTGCAGTTCCGCATCCGTTCGCGCTGTTGCACCACACACGTCGCGATTCGATCCATCCGGCGCGGCGCGGCGGCGGCACGAGTCGGTGAAACGTCGAATTGAAAATATGTGTTTTTTTTTTTCGCAGTTATCCGGAGGATGACGAGGCATCAATTTACAATAGCGTGACCGTGCTGGTCAACATACATTGACTATACGGACTATAGTCCATTCATCGAACGAGGACAACGGCGATTTGTCCGCGACGATGAAATACACGGCCGTGTACATATAGAAAGCCGCGTGCCTCGTTATGCGGAATCGTTCGATTTCTCGCGAGCAAATAAAAGGGAGTTTGTCCTTAAAAACAATAACGAACGAGCGCTTTTCGCCCGCGTCGTATAGCGTCACGCGATTTGTATCGTTTAAGCTTGAGATACCGTAATCCGTGTCGATAGCTTAATATTTTGCACGGCATCGACGTGCTACTAATTCTAGACGCCCGGCAACGCAACAATATACGTATTATTGCAGTGTTCCAATTCGATGGGAATGGAATGTTCGCTGCGTTTCGGTTAAATACGAATGCACTTCAAACAGAGATGCACGTCGCGCGTAACTGTTTTATTCGGACTTGGATGGGGGATGGGAAATTGATTTCAACATTCCCGTCGTAAATATGGACGTAATGAAGCGCGAAACCAGGTCCCGGCGCGAGCGACTGCATACGAAACAACGAAAAAAATGCAATTAATATTTTTATACCGATTAAATTAATTTTAAAAAAAGCCGAATATAACACGGCTGTGAGAGAGAGGTTGTTAATACCATGGCATATATACATTCATCTAGTTATACTTTACCGTAGTAAATTTAATTTCTGTCGCAGCTGACAATTATTGTATATAACATCATTTTTCGCATGTATTTATCTTAATACTCTTTTTCTTCTCATATTCTTATTTTCACGCGATGGTGCATTCGTCCTTGCAACCGGGCTTGAGAAACATTTCGCGCGTGTATGCAGCTGCTGGAAAGTGTGCTAAGGTCGGGCGATCGACATGCGGGTTATACCAGTAAGTCATGGTCTTCGCCACTTTGTCGAATCGCGCGATCGAGAAACCGGATCGGCCGAAAATTATGCCCTAAAATTAGCCTATTAAACGACGCGTTCTAAATCATCGAAGCGGTTCACGTGTTCACCTTCCAGCAGCGAGTCTTTGATAAATTTATTTCCGTAAAAACGCTTCCAATTTTCGTGGCAGCGTGATAATGGTAGTGGTGGTGGTGGTGGTGACCCTGTCGTGTCCGTCTGCACCAGGTACCGCTTATGGATCGGCTTCGGTTGCTATAGCGCGAATACCTCAGCACTCTCGCTCTCTCTTTCTCTCGCCACCTGTGCCATGCCACCCTCTCGTCGACCGGGGAGGGTAAGAGAATCTCTTGAGTGTTATATCAATGGAGTCGGCCGCGAGTAGCCGTACGGCGAAGTGGTTTTTCGTTTTATCGCGACGGAAATGGCGCGCTGCTCGACCTTGAGAACGTCTGAAGACACTCGAGAGGGATTTCGTTCGGGCGACGTCGGCTGATAATAAGAGCCGACGGGCACAAGCGGGAAAAATCGAGTTCGAACAGTGGTGGAGTAGCGGGTTGCGATAAGTGCGCGGAGCTTTCGGTGCTTTTCCCGACCGACGGAGCGAGAGGGATATGTCTGAATGGGTGGTGTTTGCTCGTGCCGCGTTGGTCGCGGCAGCCAGGTCAACGCCGGCTCGATCCTCGACCGGGTGATCAGCCAGGCGAGCGACGAGGATCAGTGTTTATTGTATCGGTTGGCCAACTACAAGAAGGGCGGCGAGCTAATCGAGGCGTACAATCAGGGCGGTCAGCCGGAGGTGGAGAAGCTGATCCGCGAGCAATTCGGTATCCTGATGTACGCGGACGGTAAGGGCCAGACGATCAATCGCGCCGAGTATCTGCGCTGGAAGTTCCGCGACCTCGAGCAGGTCGTGTTGCCGATCGAGGCCTCGCTGTCGCGCTTCGATCCGCTGGGGCTGTGGACCGATCACGAGGCATGCTGGCAGATGCAATACAGGGGCTCGCTGGGCGAGACCTTGCTGCACGTTCTCATCATATGCGACACGCGGATGCACACCAGGATAGCGCGCATCCTGCTCAAGTGTTTCCCGCGGCTGGCCATCGACGTCGTCGAGGGCGAAGAGTACCTCGGCGCGAGCGCCCTTCATCTGGCGATCGCCTACAACAACAACGAGCTCGTGCAGGACCTGGTCGAGGCGGGCGCGATTATCTCGCAGCGCGCCATCGGTAGCTTCTTCCTGCCGCGCGATCAGCAGAGGATGAATCCCGCCAGGAATACCGATTACGAGGGTCTCGCGTATCTGGGAGAGTACCCGCTCGCCTGGGCCGCCTGCTGCGCTAACGAGAGCGTCTACAATCTGCTACTTGACTCCGGCGCGGATCCTGACGAGCAGGATTCTTTCGGAAATATGATTTTGCACATGGTCGTAGTTTGCGATAAATTGGTGCGTATTGACGTAGACTAGACTTCAGAAATCTAATTTATCGATAATTATCTCTTATTTATTGTGAAATCTTTTTTCTATAATATTTCAATTAAGCTCTAGCAAATACCGTCGTAAAAGTTCGGTATTAAAAAAAAAAAAATTTGCTACTGTGCCATTTGCAACTATTTTTATGCTTTTTTAATAAATTTTAGAGATTGACATTTTTTTCTAATTCTACTTATGTCATCCGAACGAATTTTTATTTCGTCCCGAGGTAGTAAAACACGAATATTGACATTTCTGCCGAGCATGGTCCACCGTTCCAAAACAGCTCGCGTATAGAGAACTGTGTTATTTGACGTAGGACATGTTCGGCTACGCATTGCGACATCCGAAGCTTCCTGCTCGCAACGGAATCGTGAATGCCGCCGGCCTGACCCCGTTGACACTCGCCTGCCAGCTGGGGCGTGCCGAGGTCTTCCGTGAGATGTTGGAGTTGTCCGCGCGGGAGTTCTGGCGTTACAGTAATATCACTTGCTCGGCGTACCCTCTCAATGCCCTCGACACGCTGCTGCCCGACGGCAGAACAAGTACGTCGTAAAGCTAATCGAATTACGCCAGTCCAGGTCTACGAGAACCGTTATCCACGGGCCACCGAATCGTGCGTCTTCAAGTAGGCCCTCACTTTGTCGCATGTTCCCGAGTTAATTGCGACGAGTCAAGACCGAAATATTCTCAAATAATAGTAGCACCATACCGACACTGTAGTTGAAGAGATTTTCAATGTTCTTTTTTGTCTCTCCGTATAGCGTCGTCTCTTCTCCCTCTCTCATTCTATATCTTTTTATCACTCAAAAATTAAGGTTTGCTCTAATTAACTTTAGAAGAGTAATAATCAAATTTTTCATACATATATCTTTTACATATATTTTTTGTTGAAATAAATATCCAGAATATGCTTTTTTTACGCAATTTTTCTACAATCCTTCAAATTTCAAGAAACGCAATTTACTTTTAACGATGTACTGTTTAGCAATTGATCTTCTTTTCATTATAATTTCTGTTACTTATAATTCATACCTTTTCTAATTTTTTTTCTTACATTATATTTTTTAAAACAAGACTTTGCTCTCATATATAAGTTAGTACTTTAATCTCATTCTATTCTACGCTGCTCTATTCTACTCTCTCGCCTCCCTTCTTTTAATCTGAAGCGTTATAACATACCTGGGGAATAAGTTGTGTGTGTTCTCGGGAACGTCTTTGAAATATTCGGTAAATTATTCCGCGTTGAGTTTTTTCGTGCTGCATCATATGCGCAACTTATGTAAAATTGTTCTCACGGTTTCCAACGGCTTACCCCCTGTGTAAAGCGTTCCCAACAAGAAGAAGGTGGCAATAGAGCAAAAATTGCGACACGAGTGTCGACGACAGAAGAAGAGAAAGGAGAGGAGGGATAGAGAGAGAGAGAAAAAGGACCAATATAGCGAGAACAAGAAGGGACTATCTTCTCCCGTAAAATTGGATACGAGGACAAAATCGAGGACAAAATCGGGTTGGAAAGTTCCCGGGGAAAAAAAAAAAGAAATTTCACAAAGTTTTCCTACGTCGAACATAGGACGCAGGCGGATAGTAAACCATACTGCCAACAACTTCGCTCAACATGCGAATAACACGCCACTCTCCGGTAAAAACTAGCTGATATTGGCTCGTTATCGCCGCCGCTCTTACCATCGTTATCGCGTCGATATTTCCCTGCTTTGACCGTAATTTAGAATCGAAGTCGATTTCTCATTTAATTGGTATCCGGCGAGAGATAAATGAAATCGTTGTAGGAAGCGCGATGCAAACTGCACCAGGCGATGTAATTTGAAGTCGGCGGTTTATACACGGTACATTTAATTTTATGTATACAGCGAGTTTTACCAAAAGGTTTCCTGCGTTATTAATGTGTTTCCGATTTGATCGCTGAGTACAAGTTTCCGGTTATTTTATCAAAGTAACTGGTATCGGAGCGACAATGCTAACAATCCAAAGGCCATTTCGAGAGAAAGATCTCGCGCACGAAACTTTTAATATTAAACCAAATTTTACTTACAGAATACGAATACCCTAAAGTTTACGACGCACATCTCAAATTGATTCGATTTGACGAAAGTAACTGATCTTTGGAATATTATAGAGGATTGTCAGCGAATGCTCGTATTCGAATGTGAGCGAGCTATATCCCCACAGGAGTATATATCTCATCCAGGGATACCATGCAATTCGATTTTACCCTCGCGTTTGTCATGTCACCAAAATTTCCCAACAAAGAACCGCAGGGAACCGCTGGGAGGGCAGGGGAAAGTTTCGCGTGCTGCCGTTCGCATTTTAAGAGGGCCGTCAGTCGAACTTGCGTGAAATTGTATCGAAGTTCGCGATCGGGCGAACGGCGAGCGTTGCTGAGAAATGGATGCGTTCGTCGTCGTCGTTCACCTGCCTCAGGTTTTCCCTGGATTGTTCGTGAGTGTAGGAGTATACCCGCGAAGCGCGACGCGGATGCCTGGGTGCGCGGCGGGTCGTAGCGGGATGCAATTACGGGCATTTAACGAAGTTTCGAGATTAGCCGCGGACTCGACGCGGCGCGGTGCGACGCGGCGTCGGGAGCTTGCGTTTCATTTAGTTTCGGAATCCATTATCCCTTCGATCCTTCCTGGCCGCCGCCCTAACCCACCTATCCTACCCCCCTCGTAGTATGGGCGTCTCCACCGGGGCACGAGCGTCGCCCGATTTCGCAAGGGGTGGCGGCGCGGCGTCGCGTCGGCGGGGGCGCCCGGATGGAGGAAAGTAACCGCGGCGGCGAGAGGACAGTGCTATAGCGAGGTGAGCCGAACTTTCGGTACGTCTCTCCTACGGGCACGCTTAATTACTCCAAACCAAGGCTAGAGTGAAAGAGCAAGGGGGAGAGAAAGAGAGAGAGACGGTGGAGTCGAAGAGTGAGGGTTGGAGGATGGTGGCGGTTGGCCAAAAGAGCCTCGGTGACGGCGGTCAAAGGTCGAGCTTTCAGCGGAAAAGCCATTCCCTCTCGTCTCGGCCCTGCAGCCGACGCTTTTTTTTTCCCCCATTTTAATCCGAGGCTCGCGCACCGCTCCGCGTGAAATGTTATTTTCACAACTTCCGGTATCGCATCCGCGCGCTGCAGAAACCGACTACGCTGCAACTCCGAGACAACTCGCGCGCAATCAACGCCGTCATTTTTCGCGACGCCACTATTCGCGGATTAATTAAGAATTAATTCTGTTAGGAGCATAGAAAACGTAAAAGTGTAAGCCGGGCGTGTGAATGCGATCAGAAAAAGTTATACGGAATAAAAATTACGGAATGTTGCAATTTTTATCGCAGGCAGTTTACGCCAGACGCTTTGTTGAAAGAGAGAGAATGAGACATTTACGCGTTGTATTTATATATTCTTGAGGACAAAAGAATTACCCTGTTAGAAATCGCATCGTGACGAGGAAAGTATCGGACACGTGTGATCACCACGATGCTCCACTGAACCGCTTACGGTATTCTTGACCGGGAACAGATTCCTGGCGACGCGCGAGCGTTAAGACGCTTGCCATCTTTCACGTTGCTGCACAAGCTCTTATTTCAGACTTTTCCCTCGCACGTAAGCGACGTTACGTAAGAGGACTACGGCAGCTTTCGAGTTTAAAACGACCACGATATAAAATTTGTCTAATGTATGTGTTGTATGTGTGTGTGTGTACAAGGAGAAAAATATATATTTGAAATCGTACACCAAATTTTATGCGCATTCTATTTTAAAAGCTAATTTAAAAATTTGACGTAAAATTGTAATTCCACGAGAATATTATAAAAATATGTATTTAACAAGGAATCTTTTAACTGTAGAAAATATAAAGAAATTATTTTCCGCAGTTAAAGAGAAGTGTCGTTTTGAGAATGAGCGAAGATTTTGACATCATTTTATACTTTCAAAGTTTAAATTAAATTTTCAATATCAAATATCAAATATAAATCAAATCAAATCACCTTTGAAAAAGTGACAATTGTAAATTTCAACGACGTCCATGCGATTTTAATTATCCGTTGAGCTTTCACAGAGCTTTTTCTCTCTTCTATTATTTAACTTTGATACCAAAACCTATTGACTTCTCGACCCGAGAAAAATGTAGAGATGCGCCGATGTCTATTTCGAGAGCATCCGGCACAGAATCGCAGACTTTATCGCGACGACAATAATAGAGAGTCTCAGAAAGTAAGACGGTGTAGATGGTAAGTCCCATAAAGACGAGCTAAACAAAAGATTATTTTATACAGATAAAGTCAATACCGGTAATAAATTTATTCTCTAGATTATTTTCCGTAATCGAGTACTTTTCTTTTATCTTAAGGCGAGCGGATTTATATATAGTATACACAAGTTAGACGAGCTTAAGACTTACTTGACGTTATTTAAGGGCTCAGTTTCCTTAAGTGACTTATAAATTAATTTCAATTTGAATATTTTACATTTATTATTTGCGAAGTAGTCTCGTTACGCGCGTGTTACAGCGATACGTATAGATTTAAATTGTACCGTCGCAGTTCTAAGTTTAGCTATCTCGAAAGTACTCTTTCTCATTAACTTCACGACCGGTCCCCCCGAAATAATTACTGCCGATAGTGAAAAATGTGAAGCGCCCAAAGTGGTACTTTGTTATTTAAGCTCGGTTCAATGTCCGGTCGAGGTTAGCAGATAGTAACCGAGGATGTAGTAGGAGGAAGCTCGGGGAAAACTATCGCGGGCTCTGTGTTCCAAAGTCAGATATAATTACGTGCTGCGGTAACGGATACGCGTTAGTAACTTCGCAACGGATACTGACCGGTTTGGAGGCGGGAGATCAGCGATCATCATGCAAAATTGAGAACCGGATGATCGAGGGTATCGACATTAGCAGCGGATCCGTGTATCGCGTTTTATCGCCCGATTGATTCGCCCGAAATCCGAATTGCCCCTTTTGAATTATAAACGTGTAATCTTTCGAAAGAATCTCAATCAGTGTAACGTGCGGATTACGATACTCATTATTGGAATTTAAAATCCTAGAATATCTTAGGATCTTCATCTTCAGATCTTTTTCTTTTCGTATTCCTAAAGTTTCATTTGGAAATGAAATCAATATTAAATATGACAATGCTGAAATAATAGCTGAAATAATGGCGACCACTCTAGACGTCTCCCATCCGGGAAACGATGTTTTTGACGGGTCAAGCTACCGCGTACACCTTCGCCCGTGTCGAGCGGTAATTAAGGACTCCCGAGGATACAATCCTCCAAGTTCCAATTACTTTAGCACTCGCGCCAAAGCCGGGGCGAAGTGCGACGACAGATGCATGCGATCGATACACAACCGAGAGTCTCCCGGCGTAACGCTGCACATGAACGTTGCACTTAATATTGCACGACGCGATTCGGCAGGGCGAAAGGCGTACTATATCGATCGCGCACTAAAATGTTTAAAAGTCAGTAATCGTGATTGAAATATTTAAACGTCGACCTCTCTCACGATGGAACAGTCCCCGGACGTCGCCCAGTCGCAACAACGTATCCTCGAGCGGATACACATAAACGCCCCGGTATTTTTCAGGAACGCCGTGCCATTCTTCCGACAATTTTGCGAAGCATTCTCGAATGAAACCTTAATGGCGACGCGGATTTATCTTTTGACTGCACGGCGACGACGACACATGGCGCGGCGACGGAAAATTTCGTCCCTACAACGGAAATCTTTCGTGCCGGATGTTTCTCCGCCACGAGGGGCGGGCGGGGGAAGGGGGGGGGAGGGAGGGATAAGAGGGAGAAAGGCGCGAATGCCGAAAAGACCTGCTCGCACCTGCACCTGTATACATCCGGCGACTATATGCACGCTCACTAATGCAAAACCCATAATTATCGCGGCGCAAACCCTAAAGCGATGTTCCATTAACCGCAAATGGCTCTCTCCGAATTTCTATTTCAGACTGGAACTCTGCGCTATTTATCATTCTGAACGGTACGAAGGAGGAGCACTTGGACATGCTGGACGGTGGTATTATTCAGCGATTACTTGAGGAAAAATGGAAGACCTTCGCGCGAGTAAGTGCGTCCACGTGATGGCGTTCCCGCTCGTTTCTCGCTGAATTATAAGACGTTACTATATTTTGAAGTTTTTCACCGTCTCACCCGCCTTTATGCTTGACTTTGCTGCGACGACCTCGAGATCCTCTTTGTAACAATAGAATCACACGGCATACACCGTCCTCATCTTTTATTAATTCATCTTTTACTGGTATTTCGAATACCCAATTTTTCCGTATACCACTTTGGAATAAAGTACGAAATTCAAAGAATAAGTAGCTGCCTCATGCCCAAAAATAAGCTTGAGTAACATCTGGTATATTTGACAGTAAAAATATTTCGATGAAAAGTACATGTATCAAAATTAAAAAATATATATTTTATATATGATATTAGATGCAGAATTATGGTTGATATTATAATATTCAGGATTTGTTTTATTCTTTCGTAAAACAATGGCAGCTTCATTCAGAGTTTGTAATTTTGTTTTGTGTATTCCTATAAACCGATTCTTACGTTGAACAAAGAGAGATTTCGTTTCTTTTATCTTCTGTGCATAACTTAAAGCATCAAGAAGAGAGTTGATACTTTTAGTTCTTCAATTTTATATTTTTGCGTTTTTCGTATTTTGTATAACAAAGTAGTGCTTTATATTAAGAAACATGTTAAAAATTAAAAAAATGTTTAATGGGATAGTATTACACATGGATGCTTTCTTCAAGCACTTTTCAATATTTTTTCACTATTAGATAATCTATTAGATAATATCTATTAGATCTACCATCTATTAGATAATATTAGATAATATCTATTAGATCTATCATCTATTAGATAATATTTAAACAACATTTAAATGCAAGATACTGAAGCAAAAATTTAATTAAAACCGAGCTTATTTAAAATTATTCAAAAATAATTTTCTACTAAAAGCTTCTTACTTTTCTTAAGTAACTTCTTAAATAGTCAAATAGCATTTAAAGGCAAATCAATTTTAATTTCGTTGATAAATCTATCTTCGAAGATATTTCTGTTTGGCAAGAAACAATTTTAGATTTCTGTCACCGGACCATATTTTTGGGGAAATCTTTACGCGAGCACTTCGAGAAAGATCGGCTTACATCGCAAGAACAGCTCACGTTGCGATGCTTTTTCGCTTGTATATATTTTATGTAGTTGACAACACATGAGCCACCTGGACAATTGCCGATAAATAACATGTTACTTCGCAAAGCTGCTTAGGTCACTTACGAGAGAGATCGGGTAATATCGTCAAACGTAGTTTTTATCGGGCACAGAAGTTTCTGAAACTTGTAAATTTTTATGTGTTTTTAAACCTATTACGATTAGACAGTTTCATAAATGACTCGAAAAAGAATTAAGCGACTAAAGCGATTTAAAGCGATTGGGTAACGTAAATTTTTGAAGAATTACACGTGAGCATTCATTCAAAATGGATAAAATAAAAATTAAAGTTTCGCACACGGTTTTGCATGCGAGTGCGAGCGTAAATCATGCGCGTCTATAATACGGGATATTGTCGCGTTGTTTGCTAGCGCGACGTCGAATGCGATTTCTCTCTCTCTCTCTCTCTCGAATGACTTGGAACGATTAACACTCGGGTCGATCGGTTGAGTGACGTCGATGAGGCTTCCGGCGATGGTGGTATAATTGCGCCAGTTATTTCAAGTCAGTCTGTCGCGGGGTCCATGGTGGCTCAGTGATTTCGAAACGATGGCTATCGAAGTTATACGGGCAGGCTGATTGCAATTACGATCGCATCACAAACGAGCTTTCGTACGTACGCCGACGGCTTCAGCAGACGGGTCCCGCGTATCGCGCATATTATAACTGCACCGCGTCCATAACGTGTCCCATTTATGGCACTATATAATCACGGCCGCACTCGGACCGCACGTAGACGCAATATGCAGCATTATTGTATCCGTTCGGCTATGATTTTCCTATTATCGGATCGTACCCAGAGTCAATCTCGGCGCGGTTTCGTTAAAACGCTCTCATTTTTATTCCGTTAAACGAAGCGCGCGCGATTATACCCGCTTTGCAAACAAGCGGCGCGATAACGGCGCGGGCTGGAAGATAAAACGAAAGACGTTGAACGTTGCGTCTGGTAATTGGATTATTGCGCGATAATACGAGCGTGGCGCGATAACGCGCGTGGGGCAATGATGCCGTGGCGCGCGCAAGTTCCGCGTATACGTGCTACACGATTTTGCTATATTTGGAATTGATGTCACTTCAGAAAGAACGGGCGCGTGATATTAGACATGCAAAGAAAGTTATATCATTTTCGTCGTATTTGACGTAATGAAGTAATCTCGGAGGCTATCAATCCTGACCATAAATTACGTTTTCGATACCGAACGAATCTGAGAATCCGTGTCTGACAAACCGTGGATAAACGACTCGAAATATGCGAGAGAAATCGATCTTCTCAAATGCTTCGGACTTGGTATCCAAGAGCTCCCCGAGCTCAGCAGCCCCGGGACCGGCGATATTTTCGCGAGTCCGCCCCTATATTACCGCTCGTAAAACTTTGCTCTTATGTTCCGGCCAATCGATGCGGAAAGTTCCGTGGGTGCATACGCCGACATCTATTCTCCACTGAAAAGTTGCAGTTCCTGAAGCGATTGATTATCTTGGTGTTTCACCTGGCCTCGCTGTCCTTAGCCGTGTACTTCAGGCCCGCGGACATGGAGGCTGTGCTGCTGCAGTGGCCTGAGGAGATAACGGACGTCGTTCGCACCGTGGCGGAGTGCATCACCATCCTGGGTGTGCTGAATTACATCCTGGTGCAACTGGGCTGCGAGATGATCAACGTCGGTCCGCTGTCGTTCCTGAAGCAACTGGTAGGCTCGGTTTCATTTTTCCCGCCGCGGTGACCTCGCCGCCTAAGTAGTGTTTTACCGTTTGAGCCCGCGAGATCGCGCTCTGGAATCCGGAGCTTATTTAACTCGAAAAACAAGTTAAATCGCAAAGATATGGATGGATACTGATTTAACAAATTTAACTTTTACATTATTAAACAGAGAATATAAGCTAGAGATGCATAAGAGTCGGAATTTAAGATTTTAAAGTGTCATTTGTCGATACAAATTACATTGGGATTTTATAGAGAAAAATGAAGTAACTTCGAAGAAGTTACGGAGATGTGTATAATTTTCTTTCAGAACTATTGTGCATGAATTTGTATAAAATTCGAGACGCAATCATAATGAAGTATAAATGTATGTTCCAAAAAACGTTTAATTTTGCAATCGATTTTTTTTCTAATAAATAATTAATAATAATTTTTCATATAATAAATAAAATCTAAAGTCCTTAAGTAATCTAAAACGCTCCGACTTTCCATCGCCGCTGCATCATTTTCGTTTCTCCCGGTCGCGAAATATCCCGTTGTTTCGTGATAATTCACAAATCCCGATACTCAGCGATGCAATTTCGGTGCGGCAATGCCGGCTAACTGTAACCAGTTGCGCAAATCCTAAGGCTGGTGAACTGTAACGGATCACGGATCTATGGATGCGCCGAGGTATATTCTACGACTGCCGCGAAGGAAGCTGTACGTGGTACTAATCTTTCATGCATTAATGAGCACGAAGAATAAGAGAAGGATAGGTTGCTGATTACCGAAGCATTACGTGTAGCGGTACAACGACAACGGTAGCGACCTAACGACCAGTTCTTTTTTTTTGTTAACTGTGTAATCAGAGAAGATATATCGTTCGCCAAGTTTACCAAATTGTATAGATAGAAAGACAAGTTAATTTTTGCATGTTAAATTTATGATAAATCAACGTTAACGTAATGATATAATAAAAGAATTTAATATTTTTTTATAACTTAATAATTTCATTATTTTTTCGCGATATCATATTACAGTCGAATATCATAGAAAAATGAAATCTCAGGAAAGACACCGGCAATGATTGATTGCGTTGAAAGCATTTTTAATAGAGGTAGAGGTGATATTTCGATATGTGACCTCGATAGTGCAAAGATAGATTCTTTTCCGCTAGCAAATTATAAGCTATATATAACTTTCAATTAATATTTCTTTTTTATCAATTTTACTCAATTTTCTGTTTTAAGAGAAATCATAGTCGACTCTGTTTTGCAATACACATCGTGTATATAATATAATTTGTAATATATGCATACTTTTCGATTCAAGAACACTCGCAAAAATGTACAGAATATCGGCGCATTAGCATGCCTATCGGTTATCTATCCATATCTATCAATTAGGATAGAATATACATATACATATCGTGTTGGTTATTGCTTGTGCTGGATCAATAGCACATATACGCCGCTCCGATGCAATACAGTCAAACGTAAGCTATATCGTTGTATTATTATTGCAAGTCCGTGTATCCGCTTCGATTTGCGGGTAATTAATACTGCGACAATTCAAAAACGTTAACATGCACCGGCTCACACAAGCCGCGTCGTCGCACAATGTGTAATTTGCTCAATCTGCGCGTATACATATATAGATGGCCAAAAATATTTTACCTGTGTAATGTAGATTGTAATGTTCTGTTCTTCATATATTAATGATACTATTACGTATCGAATTTTCTTCAAAAGAAATCTTTAATTTAATTTATATTTGATATGTATCTTACATATTTTTTAAAAAGTTCCATTTATTTTATATAAATAATTTTATATAAAAGTGTCTATTGTTTTTCTTTCGTTTTTAGACTTATTTATTTTATATTTATATAAAATAAATAAGTCTTTCAAATTTATGAGAATCTTCGTAATATAAAAACTGAAAATGAATAGCCTTAAAAACGAAAGAAAAACAATCGTATGGACACTCGTATTCTGTCTCCCTGTCCCCGTACGCATCGAGCAAATTTCATTCTGTGCGTCGCAGTCGTTACACGGAGAGGTATCGAAATTGCACGAAAATATCGATTCCCCTGCGGACGTTCCTGAAACGTTGCAAGAGTGCATGAGGCCGCGCTAACGTCCCGCCTGCGCGCATTTGCATTTCAGAGCCACGAACCGGCCAAGTTGATATTCGTGATCAGCAATCTGCTCATTCTCGCGTGCATTCCATGTCGTATCGCTGGCGATCGGCACGCGGAGGATGCGATACTGGTGTACGCCGTGCCGGGCTCGTGGTTTCTTCTTATGTTTTTCGCCGGGTAAGTAATATACAAGAGACGACGACGAGACGGCGGCGATGCAGAGGGGGGGGGGAGACTGAGTCGACAAGGCACACAGGGGATA